AGTTCTTTTTCCAGCCCAGCCATATGATCTTGCACAAGCAAATCATTTCACTTCACACAGCCTCTGTTTGCTTACCCCTTACCTGGGCATAAAGAATCCCTGTTGTGAAGATCAGATGAGTGCAGAAGCATGGAAACACCTGGGAATGGCAAGCGCATTTTAGGAGCTGTTTACTGCTGTTGATGTTAATTTCTAACATAATCATTAAGGTACATTGAACCGGGAAGGAAGAAAATAGGGTTTTAATCCCATTTCTGACTCTGATCTTCATAAGACCTTAGACAAGTTACTTTTCTCTAGGCCACAGTTTCATCTGAAAACTGGAAATGTTGTTTTAGATCAGTTATTCTCAACTAGAAATTTGCATTAGAATCATCAGTGTAGCTCTGTCAAGATATCCATTCTCACCCCAGATATGCTGAAGTAGATTCTCTGTGGAAAGGAGAATCTCATGACCACTGAGAACCATTAGAATGGATGGTCAAGTACCTGCCTCCCACCTCTGCATGCCTGCTCCCCCGACTGCTGGAAGTATAGGACCCCCCCATAGGATAAGGCTGGATACAACCTTCAGCCCAGATTCCATCCTTAGTCTGAGACACTTAAACCACCTCAGGCCCAAGCTCTGGACCTCAGCATCAAGTTCTCCGAGCACCGAGCTGGCTCTGACCTCTTGTGTCAGTCACATCTAAACTCCACCCAGGCATCCAGACATGGCGCTCACCTCATTCCCTAGGAGAGCTGCATGCTGGCCTTGTCCAGCCCTGCTTGGCAAGGCATTGCTTCGCTTTTCTCAGAGTCTGAATCCTAGGCTAATGGGAAACCTGTTACTAGCTGGAAGATTGCCCTGCTCTGACCACCTGCTGGGATTATGCAGCTATCCCCTGCTGTCGAACCCTTCCTTTTCTGGTACCACCTGCCTCACAAAGAACTCCTTCCCATCCTGAACTCCTGTTGGACACCATGACAGGCTTCCCAGGGCCACACGTGGCCCTTTGTGCAGCCTAGCAGGTGGCCTTTTCTGCTTCTAGGCTGCCTTCTCATTTCTTCTCTATTTCAAGTTTATTCTGACCCTGTCCAGCTGTAGCCAAAGTCATTTTGTCCATCTCTGCCCCACATGTGATTTCAGTGGTTTCTAATATCCCTCAGGGCTGAAAAGAGTCAGAGTGGTTTCTCTGGACTTCAGGAAAAACATTGAGCTTCTCTGGACCTGTTTGCTCTTCTGTAAAGTAAGAGTGATAACATCTGCCTTGTTGTAGGAACATTCTCTGACTCAAAAGCTCCTTCCCAACTATTAAGTGAAAGAACTTCTGGTCCTCTGGTCTTAGGTCTTAAACACTGCGTCCTGAAGAAGATTTCCTTCACAAACATTCCCCCACAACTCTTCTGTGCTCTGATAGCAACCTGTACTTTTCCTTCACAACTCCTTAAACTTGTGTAATTGTCAATTACCAGTTTAAAGTCTTTCTCCCGGTCTGTTGCAGTGGCTCACACCTGTAATCCTCGGCACTTTGGGAGGCCAAGGTGGGTGGATCTCCTGAGATCAGGAGTTCAAGACCAGCCTGGCCAACATGATGGGTGAAGCCCCATCTCTACTGAAAATACAAAAATTAGCTGGGTGTGGTGGCACACACTTGTAATCCCAGCTACTTGGGAGGCTGAGGCAGGAGAATCACTTGAACCTAGGAGGTAGAGGTTTCAGTGAGTTGGGATCACTTCACAGCACTCCAGCCTGGGCGACAAGAATGAAACTCCATCTCCAAGAAAAGTAAAATAAAATAAAAATAAAGTTTTTCTTTCTTACTATTTCTTAGGTGCCATGAGGGCAGAAACTGCCTCACTCACCACTATTAAATCCCCCATGCTGGAGCATAGCAGACATGAAATATACATATCCAATGGCTGACAGATGAAATGTTGAATGTGTCTGACCCACAGCCAGTCCTCAGCCAATATAATTCCCTCCTCTCCTCTACCAGAGTGCACCACTAAGCGCAAGGCAGGTGGTGAGGCCTCAGCACAGAAGAGCACAGAGCAGAGCCGAGCTGTTGCATGAGGCCTGCCCCAGCCTCTCTCCTGAGCCCTGTGTGATCTGAAACCCAAGCAGCAGCCACAGGCAACTCCAAGTCTGGTGAGAATGATGCCCGTGTCAGCAATTATCAGTCCTGACGTATTCAGTATTTAAATTTTTCACCTGGAAATCTTTTTTAAAATAGTGGTGCCTTGGTCCTACTCATAGAGATTTTCATGTAATCAGTCTGAAATGTGACCTGCTCTTTGGTATTTTTAAACAATTTCCCTAAGTAATCCCAATATACACCAGTGGATGAGAACCACTGATCTGGTTCAATCACCATTTTTTGGACACAAACGCTGAGGCATGGGGGAGAAAGGAGTTAGCCCAAGAACCTCCAATAGCTTTTGCAGAGCTGGAGCTAAAAGTTAGAAGAGCTAACTTTCCACCCACCGCTCCTTCCACTGCACCAAGTGACAAATTGAAATCCCCTTTATCAATAGCAGAGGCAGCTTTCCTGGCACCAAAGTTGAGAGCGGAGCGCTTGTGTTTCCACCCTAAAAGATCTGTTATTAAAAGCCTGTTTATGCAAGAAAGAAATAATTAAAAGTGAATGAGTACAATTTTTTATCACAATGAATATTAATTAAAGGAAAACACTGAGTCAGTACTCATCTAGAAAAAGACAGAGACTGAAAGGCAGACTGCTCATACTGGGTTTGTCAGTCACATCGGGCAGTAATGGAATGACAGGACCCTAATAGGAAAATGTTGCTCTATTTTCCTCAATTCCTCTTGGATTTAGAAGTTAGCCAAAATGCATGCAGATCTGCTGTCAGGTTAGGCTCCATGGCTCTGCATTCTGCTTGAGCACAGGATTCTGCTCTGCATTCTACATTCTGCTCTAGCATTCTGCTTGCATTCTTTCTGGCCTAGGGCCCAGCCCTCAGGGGGCTTCAGGCTGTAAATGGTTTTCCTTATGCAGGGTCAGAATGCTAGAGAAGCAAGTGGCCTCTTCAGCCTCCCTAGAGAGTGAGGAGCCAAACAGATTGAGTGATGTGCCACGTTGTTCTTGTCCCTAAGCCCTGGGAGAAATGCAAAAGCACAGAGTTTTCCAAAGAAGAATCTCCAAATCATCAGCGGGTCACCAGAGCTGATCAATTAGGTTCAACTGGGAGGCTTTTAAAAACACATATTGCCAAGCCTTGGTCCTACTGAATATGAATCTTTTGAGCTGAGATCTCATAATTGGGAGTAAGCATTCTGACAAACTTTCTTGTTAAACTCTGGTTTTTAGCCCAGCTCAAGATCTTTGCTTTCCTTGGTCAACTGGACTGAAGTCATCTAAGAATCAATCATTGATTCATTCATTCGGCTGATAAATATTTATCTTCATTAGGCACTTTGCTGGTTATTCATGAAGACAGAGACTTTTCCTCTGTTTTCGAGTTTCCTGTGGCTTAACAACAGAAACTACCACAGTGATGACCGCGCCATGAGGGAGAAGCACCATGGTGAGGGAACACAGAGGTAGGAGAACTCAGCTCTAAGTGGGGAGTCCACAAAGGCTTCCAGAGATGATGAATGGAGAAGTAGGTTGAGTGGCATGTTCTCCCAGCAAAAATACAGAGCCTTCGAGAGGCGGCTGGAGAATCAGCTTTAACTGGAAGGCAGAGAGTATGGTGTTTCCTGAGGCTGACGAGTGCTGGATGGGGAAGAGCTCATGCTGTGTAAAGGCAAGTGAATTTCATCATGTCGGAGACAAATTGCACCCAAATTGTCTGACAGAATATGAATATCAGCATAGAGAAAAGAAGTCAATGGTTCAGGAGACTGACACACACACTGGTGGGTTCTCGTGGGAACACATGCAGAGACTGCGGGTTAAAATGCTTCTTCATTATACTGGACTTTGGAAACTAACAAGTGTTTGGGGGAGTGATATGGTTGGTCTCTGTGCCCCATCCAAATCTCATTTTGAATTGTAATCCCCACATGTCAAGGGAGGGAGGTGATTGGATCACGGGGGCAGTTTTCCCTCGTGCTGCTATCATGATAGCCAGTGAGTTCTCAGGAGAGCTGATGTCTCTGTGTAAGTGTCTGGAAGTTTCTCCTTTGCTCTTCTCTCTCCTGCTGCCTTGTGAAGAAGTTCCTTGCTCCCCCTTCATCTTCCACTGTGATTGTAAGTATTGTGAGCCCTCCTTGGCAATGCGGAACTGTGAGCCAAGTGAACCTCTTACCTTTATAAATTACCCAGTCTAGGGTATTTCTTTATAAAAGTGTGAAAATGGACTAATACAGGGAATTTCAAAAGAAGTACCAGATAGGAGGGGCCATCTACTTAGGAGCCAAGATAGTGAATATTTAAGTAATATGAAAGGCAGGAAAAGAGAGACCAGAAGTTCAGAGAAAGAAGTGACAACTTCCCAGAGAAGCTCGGTAGATCCTGAACAGGCAGGAAGGAGAAGAGAAGGAACTTTAGGCTGGGCAAGGCTTGGCCCTGGGACCAGCAGCAGGGAGCAAGGACCCCAACCATCACTGTAAACCAAAAAGGTCTTCATGGGATTTTTGACCCATGGCTGTGGGCAAATGCCTAACAATTTCCTAAAGAGAAGGGGCCCACGTTTGGCTGCAACTGCACAAACAGAGCAGCAGGATGGGTACCAGTTCCGACAACCAGAAACCGGTGAGTTCTGCACTCACGCGGGTCCCACGTGGTACATTTTAGAAAAGAGTAAGTGGATTCTATTTTTTCCGAGACTGGTCTTACAGAACTAGGGTTCCTCGGCTCTGGCAGGACCGGCAGAGCTCCTCCATACCAACTCTCACAACTCAGAGATGTGAGATTTTGAAAGGAATGTCTGCGTGTTTGGGGACCTCCCACTGTCACTCTGCCATCTAGTCCCACCTGAAATGAGACCTTTTCCCTTGAAGGACCTGTTCTCTCTTCTTCTGGTTAGCAAACCCAGCTTCACATTGGACTTACCTGGGGAGTTTTCAAACTTGTTGTTGCTTGGATCCCACCCCCAGAGATTTTTTTTCTTAGGGATAGGGTGTTGCTTTATTGTCCAGACTGGAGTACAGTGGGATGATCATGGCTCACTGCAACTTTGAACTCCTGGGCTCAAGTGATCCTCCTGCCTCAGCCTCCTGAGTAGCTGGGACTACAAGCACACATCACCATGCCCGGCTAATTTATTTTTGTTTTCTGTAGAGGCAGGGTCTCACACTGTGTTTCTCAGGCTGGTCTTGAATTCTTGATTTCAAGCTGTCTTCCTGCCTTGGCTTCCCAAAGTGCTGGAATTACAAGCATAAGCCATTATACTAGGCCAGAAATTCTTATTAATTAATGTGGAGTAGTGACTGGGCATTAAGCCTGGTAAACATTACCCATTATTACTCTTATTTAGATAGTCAACCAACAGATGTTAGAAGGGAATCAAGGAATTATTTAGCAATTGAGGGGTTGGCTAAGAATGTTATTCCCATTTTAATGAAGGATTCTTTTCTTTTTCTTCTTATTCATAGCTTGCTGATTTTCCTTTCAAACTCCAAAAGCAGTTCACACTTATTGCTATAGTCCAAACAACACAATAAATGTATTTTTTGTATATCTAAAATTAAGCTATCTATATTCTCCTCTGTTTATAATAACAAAAACAATAACTTCCTACTTCCCACATTTCACATAGGGAACATTTGGGGTTTAGAATCTAATATTGATTTTTTAATAGTCCAGCAATTAGATTTAATTTTAAATTTTCTTTCTTTATTCAGGAACGCTTCTCTCTCCTATGAATTCCCCTTGTATTCCTTTTTCATTTTAAAGATTAGAGCTTTCAGGAATTCTCATAGTGAGAATTGGGCAGACTTTTGTCTGCCTGAAACACTTTTACTTTATCTTACATTTCAATGATCGTTTGAGAATCAGCACAGAATTCTGGGTTCAAAATTATTTCCCTTCCTAACATTGAAGATACTATACTCTCTCGAAGCCATTATTGCCAACCAGAAGCTTGTTTATTATTGTCCTGTTCTCTCTCCTTTGTACACAATCTTTGGTTTCTTTCTAGAAGCTTTTATATTGTCTTTCCTTTCATTTTCCAAAATTTGACCAGAACATGTCTAGGGTTGATATTTTTCTTCCCATTCATTCTGCTTAGAAACCTGGTGTTCCCTTTCAATCTAAAAACTCTGGCACTGGGATTTTTCTTATATTATGTCTTTACTTTTTCTCTCATTCATTTTGTCTCTTCTCTCCATCTTGTACTCTTATTGTTACAGATACTGGAATTTTCCACCCTGTCCTCTGAATGTCTTCACTTTTCCCGTCTGTTCTCTCTTGGTCCTTCTGTTTAAGTACTGACAGCATCACTCCATTCAGTCCCGCAGCACAGGACTCTCTCTTTATGTATAGCCAATAAGCCTTTGCAGGCCACTTACTGACTTTTTCTTCTCAACCAGCCTTTTTTTTCATTTCTAAGATCTTTAATTGGTACTTTTTCATAACAGCTTGTTCTTATTTTATAAATATAAATATTAATTATAGTTTTTACATTTTATTTACTGAATTTTCTCTTTTCTCAGGTACTATTTTCTATTAAGTTTTGTTCCTTTCTTTCTCAATATTTGTTTGCTTAAATATTTAGCAATGCTTGGTAACATGGTCAACTTCGCATTAGAGATGGCTTTCAAGGCCGTCTGGGATTGTTCTTTCTTTACCAAAATCTGACTCCAGTCCTGTGGTGGAGGAATGGGGTGTGCTCCAGGCAATGAGTTGATGAGTTGTGCCTGTGGCCAGACCTAGGTGTGGGGTGTGGAGGGGTTCCAGCTTCTCTTGACTGTCACAGGTACATCCCCGCCTCTGGGGCCCCAGCACTAGGAGGCGCTGTCCTATTGCACTCATTCATGTGGTTTGCGGCTGGGCTCTGTGAAGGGAGTTTGAGGTGAAGACTTACAGCACTATTATGGGTCTTCAGACTCTCCAGGTCTAGGGAGGTATTCTGCCCAAGCTCACATGTAGAGGAGCTGTAAATTTGATTAGCACTGGGCTCAGAGAAACTTGGGAAATACATGAATCCAAACATAATCCAAAGACAAAAAAAAGAAACTTTAAATATTTCACTATGTTGCCTTTCCCTATTCTGGGGTGAATATATGTGTTTGAAAGACTAGCCCCTAGTGCTTATGTGTGCATAGTTAACCTGACTCTGTTAAGTGTTTTCCACAACACCTGAAGCTTAATAAATTACAGCCACTATGAAAAGGCATTCAAAGAATGTATTATAGTTATCGAAAGTCATTTGCTCCTCTCTTTTTCCCTCTATTTCTACTTCTTCTCTCTTTAAAATCAGATTTTAACTTAGAATGGGTCTTAGAAGCCATTTACTTAAATCCCTATATGTTCACTTTTTGAGGTTCATTAATACGCTACTATTTCAAGGTTAACTAAAACATTTCCATGGCGGCAAATATGGAAAGTTGTTGGGATTCACTCAGGGTGACTGGCAAAATATTAGGGAAATATTAAGGTAAGTTAGAAGATTCTAGTCTCAAACCTTTTGAAAGGCCAAAAGGTTTTAATAGAATGGGCTGAAGGCAGCCAGTTCATTATGTTAGAATTTTAAGTCATGGGATAAAAGATCAGGATAACAAAAGCTTCCCCAGTTAAGTCTGCTTACCCCACACCCCTTTGTCTCTACTCTGTTTACTCATATAAACTTTGTGCTGGATGGTCCTCTCACGGGGAGGGAGAAGGGGAATTACCCGTTAATGGTATTTGCTCTGGGCCCCAGAAATAAAACCTTCTAGCATTCGTAAAACCACAATATTAATTTTAACAATATTAATTATCCACAAGTGTGTCAACTTAGAACATCTGTTACTAAATCTATGCTAAATAAATGCAAGGAAGAACCGGGAATCATGGTTGCTTAGGGGCAATTGCCCTCTAAAAGCAGCTGATGACCATCCCTGGCCCACTCAAATGCACGGTATTCTGGTGTGTGTAAGTGCATTCACTCATCTGGTTGTTAAATCAGGGTCTGTAAAACAGACCTCTGCAGGTGGTAATCAGTGTCTCAGAAAGTAAAGATAACAGCATGAAAAGAAAAAGTCATCCGTAAGCTCATTACCAGAGACTGTATCCGCTCTGTAAGCTGTGGCTGAGGAAGGAGAAGCTGTGGGCCGGGAATCTAGCAGTGTGTGGGTCACTGGTCAAGTCTCTCCATGCCAGTCCTCCGTACTTCCCCCTGAAACAGGAAGACCTCGTTTGTTTCTACTGATTGCAGAAACAAAAGATGGACAACAAGCCTGTCCCATCCAAGAAGCGCTGATGAAGCCTCAATGCTGCCTGCTCATGCCCTCTTTCCTGTCCCTCATCATGTTGGTCACAGTGTCTATCTCTTGAATCTCATGGGAAATACATGAGATTCAAACATAATCCAAATCTCAGAGCTAAAAGAATCATTCTGCTCATTGCTTGTCTTAAAGTATAAGTGTAGTATAGGCTTTGTCATTCCAGGTGTGTGGTCACACCAAGACCAATCTCAGGAGAGCTGTGGTAGCTGTGTGATTGTTCTCCTGCACTACCAAGGGAAACTCCCCTAAGAAGCTTCAATGTCACCTCCAACTTGAAGCCCTCCTCTCTCTGCCCAGGTAGGTGCTCAGTCCCAGCTCTGTGTTCCTTCACTCTTCATACATATTTTTCCTACAGCATTTATAGGGTGGGTGTTTATTTATAGGTCTCTCTTAACTGATGAATTATGAACTTCCTAAAGACAAAGATACAACCATTCCAGGCACATAACAAGGGATTAAAAGTTTGATGAATTAATGAACAAATGTTCCAATTAAGACACTTTACTAAGGAGGCTTACCAAATGTTTTAGAAGCATTTTTGTTTATATAAAAAACAGCCCCAAGAACAAATAAGACAAATTCATGTGCCATACTAAACATGATCTAAACATTCTAATCGAGGCTTACTTCTGTAAACGTAGACATTTATTTCCCGACATATAAACATTCTAATCGAGGCTTACTTCTGTAAACGTAGACATTTATTTCCCGACATATCCTAGAGTCAAGGGTGGAAAGCATGCGAGCAGTTGTTTACTCTAACACCACAATCACTGAGTGAATTGATGCTGCAGACTCTCAGAAGAGTGCTAATCTAGTACAAACTCCTTCATTCTCAGGGGTACACCTGCTCTCCAATTCATCTATTTCAAACTCAGGAAAACACTATTTTTAGAAGAAAGCATTTCAGGAAATTGAAAGAGAATTGAATTTAAAGTTAGAAATTTAGACTTGGAGTCAAGGTCTTCTATGAAACGGCTTTTGTGCTCATCTCCTCACTATCCCAAGCCACATTGTCTGATCTTGAAAGTAGCAATAGTAATAACTGCTATCACAAGGTGATTGTGGACACAAAGTGTGAAAATGAACATGAACGACTTTGTGAATAGTGAAACACTGTGTACGCTTAAGAAAAGAAAGAAAAGGAGGGTGGGAGGTCTGTAAAATTAAAATGATCCTTCTCCAAAGATGAGAGAGAAATCATTGCAGTCATGGAATATCCTATTACAGGGAACAGGAATGCCTCCCTTACGGTTATGTGGGGAGTCAGCAGAAGGAATCAGTTTTGTAACTCTAATCTGATGCCCTGTCTTTCCTGCCTCCATCCTCCCACCTTTCTGAACCTGTGTCTCTCTCGTAGAGAGCTATGTGCTTGGAGCCACGCTGTCTGGGTTTGGATTCTGGCTCTGCCGCTGATCAAACCTCTGTGCATGACTTTAACACACCTGTAAAATCGGTGTAATCATAGTATCTCCACATAGAGTCCTTTCTTCCCTCTTATCTAATTTTTCTCTTGAGGGTCTATCACTACAACTTCCTTGTCATTACACTCCCTTGCCTCTCCTTCTCTTCTGTGCGCTATACTCGCTTTCCAAAACCACCACCCTAGGAGAGTTAATCAGAACTCTCCTTTTACTCTCTGCCTGCCACCATGCAACTGAGAGGAGCTTGGGAAATACCTATGACCACACAAACTGCCCTGCTTTAAATATAGGACCCAGGACCACAGGTGTGCCCTTAAGGTTACCTGGCTACCATATTGTATTGTCTTATTTCACTTACTCTCCCACCTGCTAGAAACGTTTTTACAGCTTCCCCTCTTTTCAGTCTGCCATTGCCCACACCCTCGGCAACTGGCCTTGCTTTCCTCATCTCTGAGGAAATGGAAACAATTAGATGAGCATTTCTATGGACTCTCACAAATACACCCATAAAACTGCCAGTATGTTCAAACAAATCCTCGACCTTACCTTTTATTACTAAAGACAAATTCCCATCTCCTGTCTAGAGCTGTTATGGGCTATATTGTGTACTCCAAAAATTCATAGGTTAAAGTCGTAATCCCCAGTGCCTCAGGACATGTCCTCGTTTGGAAATGAGGTCTTTGTGGATGTAATTAGTTAAGATGAGGTTATACTGGAGGAGTGTGGGCCCCTAAATCAATATGACCGATTCTTAAAAAGAGGAAAAGTGTATTCCCAGACATGCACACAGGGAGAATGCCAGATTAAGATGAAGGCTGAGGTCGGAGTGACCCACCCATAAGCCATGGAACACCAAAGATCACGAGCAAACACTAGAAACCAGGGGAGCGGCAGGGAACAGGTTCTGCCTTACAGCTCTTAGAACCAACCCTGCTCACACCTTGATCTTGAGTGTTCAGCCTCCAGAACTGTAAGACAATGAATTTCTGTTGCCTAAATCACCCATTCTGTGGTACTTCGCTATGGCAGCCAGTAGACTATGATGAGGTCCACCCCTTCAATCACCTAGAGTGGCTGGGTCTTACCCTCTTTCAACTACTCAAAGACATTGTTTAAAGAGTGCTTCCTTTTTTCTCCTATGATGTTTGTTTTTCCCTCTCTATTGCATCATTCTCATAGGCATCCACACAGGCTGTTATTTGTCCCATTATTTAAAAAAAAATAGTTTTTAGCTTCCTTTGACTCCACTTCCTCTGCCTTCCACCCCCTCTCTCTGCAAGACTTTGCAGCAAAAATTCCTGTGTTGATGTATTCACTGTCTCCAGTTCTTCTCCTCCTAATTTCCCTTAAAGAGACTCAATCTAAGACTTTCATGCTCACTAGTCCACGTAAAGAGTTCTCGTCCGAGGCACTAGTGAGTCCACATTACTAAACCCAGAGGCTGATTTTCAGCCGTGCTCTTACTTGAGCCACCAGCAACATTGGATGCAGCCAATCTTTGCTTGCTTTTTGAGGCATTCCCTTTCCCTGGCTTGTGGCACAGCACCACACTGGCCTTCTTTGGCCTTTTCCACTGACTGCTCCTTCTCATTCTCATCTTCTCGGAGACTCCTAACATTGGAGCCCCCAGGGCCCTGTCCTTGGTCCTCCCCTGTGTGTGCTCACATTTCCTCAGTGGACTCATCCAGGCTCAAGGTTTTAACTACCACTTGTGTACCAAAGACTTCTAAATGTATACCTTCAGTCAAGCCTCTTCCCTGAATCCCAGACTCACCTGTCCCACTGCTCACTCCACTAGACACCAACAAGCTTAACATGTCCCAAACTGGACTCCTCACGTTCCTCCAAATGCCTCATCACCAGTATTCTTCCACCTCTCAGTAATGGGCAACTTCATCCTTCCAGGATCTCAGGCCAGAACCTGGTAGCCATTCTTAACTGTTCACTTTCTCTCACACCACAGATTCACTAGTCAAGGCGTCTGATTGGAGCTACATTTAAACCCTATGTGGCATCTAAACCTTTCTCGCTTCCTCTGCTGAGCTAACATCATATCTCCCTAGAATTATTGCAATCGCCTCCTGACTGGTCTCTGGACTTCCACTCTTGCACCCTATGTCATGGGTATAAGTGGCCAGGGCCGACTCTGCAGGTGTAAAGGAATTTACCAAGACAGTTGTAGGTTAAAAAGGCAGAGTTATGAGAGAAAGTATGAAAATTTGTTGCAAGGTTGCAGTGGGCAGCACAGCAGAGAAGGGACTATCTGCAAAGATGCAGGGGCTGGAGGGAAGTTTTTTAGGGTCCTGCTGAAGGGGGCCATGTGTGGAATAAGGTCATTGTGCCTGCTGAATAAAGTCATTGAACCCACAGTTGTTCTTCCCCAACGGGGACCCTTCCTCCTTGTTGCTTACTTGTATTCCCAGTATTCCACACTCTATAGTCCATCTCGACTCAGCAGTCAGAGAGATCTTGTAAAACACAAGTTGCATTCAGTCAGCTCAAAGTCCTCAGAGGCTCCCTACTTGATCCTATTTGATTTGGAGAGAAAGTCAAAGCCCTAGAGTGGCTCCTTAGGCCCTTCATGGCCTCTGCCCACCCGCATATCTCATTGCTTTTATTCCCCTCCTTCCTCCACTCCAGCCACAGGGCTCCGTGCTGGCCCTAGAGAATCCAAGTTGCTCCCCTTAGAGTCCATGCACTGGCTGGTCCTTCTCACCGTCCCCTCAGGTACCCACAGAGATAACTTTCTTACCACCTCTGCTTAAATGTCACTTCCTCAATGAGGTCTGCCTGGATTGCAATTAGTTAAAATTATAATCCCTGCTCTCAATTCCTGTCCTTATCCCTGCCCCATCACCTCCTAACGTACAATATAATTTACTTATTCATGTGATTATAATATATGTTTTACCTCCCTGTGCTAGACTATACGCTCTCAAGAGCAGGGATTTATTTTGTTGTTGTTGTTGATTCATGTGTATAATAGGTACTTGTGAAAGGAAAATGCATCTCAGGACCCCCAAATCACTAAGTGAAAGAGAAAAGCCAAGCTGGGAACTGCATCAGGCAAACCTGCCTCCCATTTTAATACTAAATAAGGTAGCTACAAAATGTACCTCCCTCACAATTTGCCTTCAAGGAAATTCCTTGTGGGCCTTTTAAGATCTTTGCCTTAAACCAGTTCTGTTGAATTTCACCCTGGCAACACAAATCGATAGCTTATCTTCATAGGTGCTGAACAAAGGACAAAGGACAGACAGAACTCGAGGTCATTCCTCTGCTCACCTGAGACAAATGCATATCCAATTGCTTTCTCTGCCCTATTGTTTATGTAAAAATGCAGATTCAGTGAGTCAGACTAAGGAATAAATGACTATTCCTCCTCTATCCCCTCTCATATGTAAACTGTGCCTTCAGTGAAAGGCTGATCAAAGACCCACACAGATGCAGCCTTTTGCCTCTTATCT